CAGGCTTGTCAAGCCATTATGAACAAAACTTCAGGTGACCTGATAATAAATGCATACCTTCGAGTAGCTTATCAAGGACTTGTACCGCGAGAGAGACAAACCTCCAACATTTCGCACATACCTTTGCCTCGCTGAAAGACAATGATCAGCTCGATTATTTCAATAGGCACCATATTACGGACACTCTTTCTCTTATCCCTTAGGTACTAGCTGTCAAATGGTTCCTGTTAAAAACCTTCAAAAAAATACGCGGTCTAGTCATTTTGTCAGAATATTGGAATCTTTGCCTACACTCCTTTCAACTCCAATTATGTTCTAATTGTACGAGTATGATTGTAGATTACTACTGCATCAAGTATGGTCTAGTTAGCTGCGGACGACGGGGCGTAGCAGGCGGTATGGGTTTGGCAAAGTGCCTCTCCATTTTTTTTCTCTAGCTCTCTCTTTGGGCGAGCAGCAAGACTGGATCATATCGTTCGTGTCAGTCATTTTCCACCAACTCTGGTCGCTTACCAGCCTCAACAACTTATGGAAAACGGGCTTGGTACTGCGCAAACCCAACCTGCCTGACACGCCCCATCATCTATGGCGAACAAGACTGCATACGCCCGAACGTGCACTAGTTGCAACTAACTTTTCCTTGTCGATCAAAAATAACAGTTTCTGAATGTAAGGTTTAAGAAGAGAGTCGAATTACACTAAATAAACTTACGTGCAACATTTCCGTACATTGTCATAATCAGTGAGATCGATATCGAAAACAAGTTCACGTTCAACAGCTTTGAAATCCGAATGCTTTTTATTCTCTTTTGGCTGAAATAATAGAGTTTCAATAGTAAGCTTCAGCCGCACTCCCTTTCTCTCGCGCAAAATCCACCGCATATATCGAACAATAGGCTAAAATGTCCTGACAAAGTTTTTTGAAGTCTATGAACTTTGTCTCTTGACCGATACCCACGATATATCATGTTATAAGTGTACAACATTTTTGGAACCTCTCTGCAAAAGATACACGTTGGAGGTGACGGTAACGAGGGTGACTACCGAAATTCGCAATATCAACGTTGCATTGGGGAGGGCATCTACCATCAGAACTGGTCAATCATGTTCCGGTTCTTTTACAAGACCCACCATCTAACAAGATAAAATGGGTCGGCTCATCTTACCCCCTGAAAGACTGCCGCTTTGGGACGTTTTCAAAAGGCATTCGAAGGTTATCCGCAGTCTTGCGTTGCGATTCGGGTGTTTTGTAACAGTTGAAGCAATAACAACTAGAACGTAGAAACACAATTTCATAAAAGTATAAAACGTAAAACACTGTACCTTATGGGAGTAAACCGCTCCGATATCCAACTTATGTGGACTAATTTTACACAATTCTCGTTCAAATTCGGCTTGGTCCTCAAAGCATCGATACCGAAGATGCACGTCTCCCTCAAGAATGAACGCGAACTCACGTCTTGCGAAGTAATCTGCAGGCTCTAAAATACAAGATTCACAAATGTAACTCATAATAAATATAGCTAGCATACGGCTCCGATAAAAATTCGTACCCGTAGACAAAAAGCTTTGAGTACTAGACCACATCAGTGATCATGAAAGCTATCGCAAGAATGCTGACTTATGAGGAAGACCAAACCTCAGGAAGGACTCGAACCTGTTAGGTGACTGAACCGAGGTTTCAGTCGCATGAGCAGGTTTCAGTCCTGTCTCGCTTTAGTATATTGCTCATAAAGAAGCAATCTTGTGAAAACTCCCGAAGCACGGCTGCGGCGAAAAGCAGCAGTTATCAAAACAAAACAGACCATGAACGTTCTAAAAACACGTCCATCCCCTCGAGAAGCCCCTGTGTCAGAAATTTATAGAAAAATGCTCGAAAAATAAATGCACTGTGTGAGTCCTCCACGCAAA